AACAATCATCGGTCTTCATCGTGAACTTCCGGTTACCCTAGAAAGTGACCACGTGTTTGAGGATTAATGGTAAACGCTGGCTTGAAGCTTTCAAAATAATACCTTGCTCTGTAATATTAATGCTGGTAGGTTATTTTCCTGGCTGTCGTGAAAGTACTTCAGTTTTGAATATAATTCCGACTTCTTTATATATAAAGGTACAATAACTTGTAAGTTGTCAGCTTGTAGACTGTATACATGAATGTATCGTCATAATTGTAGAATTAAAGCTGAATTTGTTGTACATATTTCTCTCAGAAATGTTGACGACATTATGAGTTATACTACGCTGTAACAAGGCTGCTGTTCAATTTCGATATTGAATTGTCTGCAGATATCGTAATGGTCACGCATGTAGATAATCGTGTCGTCCGGGATTGCATATACTAGCAATTTATAATGAATAGTTGATTTCTCGCGAAGATCTATGAAACGTCAGTTGACAAATTAATACAGCGACGTTCTGTGTTGTAAATAGCCTGTGCAATTGTCTTGGCTTGGAGGCTTATAGCATAGCGCATCTGGCATACAGTTGATAGACAACTTATGCGTGTCTTGAACGGACTGAGGAGTAGCTATATATGACGAGTGGCTAGTATATGGAGACCTTGGAGGAGACTTCCTCGGTGAACGCCGGAGACTTCACGAAGCTCTCGAAGTATCCCTTCTAGATCTACTGGTGAAGTAGACTTGAGCCACTTAGCCTTCTCGCGACCTTCGCGAAGGTATCGAAATCAAAGTCCGATTAGAATATATATATATATATATATATATATATATATAAGAGCTTGCTTCATGAATGGCCTCTGTGTTTAACAGGATGTGGGGTCGGCGAAAGCCTTCTCCTCCGGCTGACGTCCTTGTAGCTGGTGAGGCTCTAGCTCCTTCGCGGGCGACCTGGGACTTGCTGGTTCTGCATAAGTAGGGGCCGAGTGGATCATCTTATCATTTTCAGAAGTCGTGTTACGAAATCTGGTGATAAGTGTCTCAATGATCGTTCTAGATCTATTTAGGCCAACTTAACATCGTCTCGTCATGGATTCAACTGAACCAATTCACGATTGTAGTTCTTATTGTTGATATCGATGATCAACTTGTAGTTTTCATCGATGTCTTAAGCCTTGAAGAAGGGGTCCATGTTGTGCGTGGAAAACTTCTAGGCGTGAAAGTTCGGCAATTATGGTGTCTGAACTTTGTGGCTTTATGGGATGCTATGTCTAGATTCTGTGCTACCGCGGCAGCAATTAGGTCGATCGGAGAGGTAGGTGATAGCATCTGCGCCGTCTTCCTTCATCAGGTATGTCTGCTGCGTACTGCCACTCTAGGAAGGTGATGTAGACTTGTGTGCAGACTTGTGTGGTAACCTGTGAAGCGCGTCGATGTGGTGATGTGCGAGGATCGGAGACTATTGACAGCTTCGCTCGAAGCTCTTGAGTAGTCCCTTGACTCTGTTAAATGACGATCTATATTCGGGTGTCCTTCCCGAAGTGCCTTCGCGAATGCCTTGAGCTGAACGCCTTCCACCGAACGCCACCGCGGAACGCCTTGACAGCTTCCTCTGCTTGGTCGCTGGGGAAACGGCGATTTGAGCTTCGAAGCTTCCGTGAGGTCTGGTGGCTGAGTCTGCATCTAAGGATGAAGCCGAGGAATGTGATGATCTATCCCGCGCTTCGAAGGCCTTCGCGAAGGCTGTACATCTGGGTCCTTCGTCAAGGTGGTCTGCGACTTCCTTCAGCGAAGGCTGCATCATCTTTGGCTGCTCACGTTGACTGGAGGTGCCTCTAGAGTGTTGTCTAAGTTGGAGCCTTCGCCGGGCTCGGTACTCTAGGCTGGCTGCTTCTCCAGTCTGTAGTGACCCTCCATCACGACCATGATTTGCCGTGAGTAGCTTTCGTCTGGGATGGTCTGCGACGGTAAGTCGGTGCCATCTCTGCGCTGTTAGTGGTGGGGCCCCTCAGGTAAGTCGTCTGACATCAGTGTAGAGACATCAGGCTGCATGACGATCTCTGCTGATGTGTCATTGTAAGCTGTCACCGGTCGCCACTTGTCTCATATCGTCGAGGATGATGATCGGCTGATCATCGTGAGAGGCCAAGTTCGGCTGGAACAATCTCGGTTGAGAAAGTCCTAGTAGACTTCCGTTGAATTCCCCTCAGAGGTCGACGCTGCCCTGGGGTGCGAGGGTCTGCGTTGAGTGTTGGTAGCGGCGGGACCCTCAGGAAGATCATCGAATGTTGATCTCGCTGGCAACATCACTGTTGCCGACATCAGTCATTCTTTGATGTACATCAGAAATTTAATTTATTGTTTATACTATGAAATATATTTTACAAAAGACAAACAACAAAGTTTTATATTTTATGTTTTATTTGTCCCACGATGTCATTTACCTTTGGAAACGTTGCCAGTACGTATATGCGTCCTGCTTCCGGTGTAAACATTGCCAGTTGAGTTCGCTGATTCACACACCTGACCTCGTTTTTTGGGGTAGATTAATGAACTCAAGTATAAGTCGGGTCTGATTTTTTACCTTCATTTTCTGGTATCAAATTTCCGACTTATAGTCGGTCATATACGGTAAGGGTTGCTCCAAGTGTAAAATCTTGTTCAGTGATGAAAATCACGTATTCCCATTGTGGATAATATAAGCCAGCATGATTCTTGCAGGCGTTGTTAACCTAAAGCCCTTTACAAAGGTCACCTTGAGGTTCTTTGGTACTTGAGATATCGGCTTCATAGGTGATATAATATTGGAGTCAAAGTTATCAGCATATATGCAGTACGTCTCTGTTGGGTTGGAGTGAGTGAGTGAACTACAATATCCACAGGCCATCTGCCACCCGGTGTAAGACCTCAGCATCCGTATAGATGAAGGGATTCCTTTCATCAAGTAGGTTGTCATCCGAAACTGAACCTATACAGGTATAAGGTTTGTGCAGGTTGTAGAGTTGTGCAGGCTGTAAACTGTAGAGATCGCACATGTTGTAGATCTTTTTGTCGAGACAAAACCATCTGTTTTCCCCATTGCTTCGTTTTATTCAGCCGTATGGTAATAGACGTCAACATCCTGCCTGTTGATGTAAGGTTTTGTTAACCCTAGGGTTTGCGAACCCTGTAGATGTCCGCATTGATGTTATCTGCCTGTAGATCTAAGAGTTCTCGAACCTTGTAGATGTCTGCAGCTTTCTCAAAACTGTGCGTAGGTTAGAAGGTACCTTGGATATAGGTTCAATTGGAATAGTCACCGAGTCAAAGTCATCATTACACATCTTATAAGTGTAGACTTCATCAATATCTTTAGAAGGAGACTCCAAGTTCAACCACTGGCAATCCAAGCTGTAACCTCTGAGTCTGGGAAGACGAAGTCTGGTTATTCATCAGTTACCTCCTGATCGGTAGAGCTATGCCTCCGCGAATCATCCTTCTGCGAACCTGTATCCCTTCTCGAACTTCCATCATCCTTTCGCGAACTGAAGATTCCTCCCTTCGCGAACGTCTACCTTGAGAGTCCTCTCTTCATGAACCTCTATCTGTGGATTCATCTCTTCGCGAACCTCTGTGACGTGAGCCTCCTCTTCGCGAACCTCTGTCGCTAGATGTATCCCTTCGCGAACCTCTGTGATGTGACCCTTCTCTTCGCGAACGTCTGTGAGAGATATGAGATCCTTCGATGTTTTCGAACGTTGATGGTTCGCAGATGTAGAACGGTGAGTAGGCATCTCATGTCTTCTATCCTCCTCCAAGATGACAGAGTCGTCAGACTGTGGAGACCTTCGCAAAGGTGTACGTTCGCCAACCTAGTCTTGAGATGTAGTTCTATGAGGCGAAGGTTCGCACAGGTCCGTAGGTTTGCGCGACGATGTCAGTAGATGAGAGGCTTCGCCGAGCCTTTGCTTCTTCCTCGAACCTAAGTTACATCATGGCCATCATCTGGTTGGTGAACTGTCTTAAATTTCACACAGATCAAGTTCTGCGTTGATTGAAGCTGCTGCGGTGTAGAAGAAGCGTTTGCGAACGCTGATGAGTTGTGTGTCTCACCCGATCCATGGCACGTCTATAGATATAAGACAAATATTGATTAAATTGTAGATTTGATAAATCAACACAATAAGTACAGCGCAAGCTGGAAGAACATGGTTTTATGTACGAAAGGCATTGGGGTGAGGATCAGTCACAGATAACCTGTGCCTGCAAACAAAGATTTCATGAAATGTAAACAAAGTTACATAACGATGATATTATGACACAAATACAATTAATTTTTACAAAATGTTTACATACAATACAAAGTAGTTATTGCCAAATCCATACACAGCGTAATTTTGAAGAATAGGACCTAAACAAAAAGGATACAATGCCATATATGAGACTCCAGTGCTCGCCCAACCATCCACTTGGGAGAGAGTGACAAGTAAGGCTGGTCACATGACTGTTTACGCGGGAAAAGGGAGGTAACTCGTGGGTGAGTGTATTTTTACGTCCTCTTCGGGAATTTCAAGGTATTCAAGTGTTTCCACTACCATTCGCAACGGAAAGGGAGATAAGCAAAAGATCATGAGTCAGGATAAGAAAAAATATATAATTTCATTAAGCAATGTTTGGAACATTAGACATTAAAATGAATATCAGGTATGTATAGAAACAACAAACTTATCTCTTATTTGTATATGAGAGGAGTTTATCACCCTTACATCAATCCATCCTAAATCATTTCTTCACACATACACATGAAATAACTGAGGACAATAAAATTCATTGATTTTCATGACAAAGGGACTTCATGGTAACCCAGGGATTCTGGAGCAGAATATGTGCTTCATACTGTCTTCTCACAGCAGACTGCTATGTTTGATGAGGGTAAGTGTGTCCCAACCAAATAACTGGCATATACAGATGCATTCAATTCCAACCTGAACAAGAACAGATACCCTTCCCTTTATGACACAGGTTTACACACAAACCTTTATCAGCTATCTTGACAAACAAGCTGAAGCCTTCTGCAGACCGCAGGGCCAGTTTGTTGGCAATATTCTGGCAGAAATCCTTGGCTCTAGTACTGGACTCGACCTCAAATGCCTGATGTGACAAAAATCATCCACATTAAACAGTTCTTATTATGGTCCATTAGGAGAGACATGTTAACATGAAAGCATACGACTTGGACTCACGGTAAAAATACAACAGATCTACACAGGAATTATTACATATGTCTCTGTTAAGTGTGGGAGTTGAGTGTTACTGAGCACTGTGGCATATCCCCACCTCGTCTGTGTCATCAGGGAAGTAGACTTTGTGCAGGATCTGCGTTGTCTTGTGCTGGATGGCCTCCACCTCCACTTGATGTGGAGGGTACTTTCTGGTGCCATTCCTGCAACACACAGCACTCATGCTCAAACAACAGAAACACAGTCTCAGTGTCGAAATCATCAAAGAGAAAATTGTCCCCATACAAAAGTACTCAAATGGCAGCCCCAGTTTATGGGAATGGAAGCAAGGCTACGTTTCTAGGTGTTTCATACCTAAGTGTCTTCTTGAGTCTGTTCATGCAGTCTGGGGCAATAGAGTTCTTCCTTGTCCTGAGAAACTGCATCAGTTCCTTCAGAAGGTTTGTGCTTGGGGCGAAGCAGCCTGTAGCAAGCCACATCAGCTCATACCCTCGCTCCTCACTGGATCTGTAAGGAAATACCACATGCTGACTCTCGGCAGGCATAGCAATGTAATGTCTATAGCTGCTTGTCAGGTACTGCTGTTGTTACATTAACACCCAGCCCCCCTCTGCCATTAGGAGACTCTACCCTACCTGACTTGTAACACCCAGCCCCCCTCTGCCATTAGCAGACTCTAGCCTACCTGACTTGTAACACCCAGGCCCTTTCTGCCATCAGGAGACTTTAGCCTACCTGACTTGTAACACACACACCCCCTCCCTTCTGCCATCAGGAGACTCTAGCCTACCTGACTTGGAATACCCAAGCCCCCTCTCCCATGAGGAGACCCTGGCCTACCTGACTTGTAATACCAAAGCCCCCTCTGCCATGAGGAGACCCTGTCCTACCTGCCTTGTAACACCCAGCCCCCTCTGCCATGAGGAGACCTGGCCTACCTGACTTGTAATACCCAAGCCCCCTCTGCCATGAGGAGATCCTGGCCTACCTGACTTGTAACACCCAGCCCCCTCTGCCATGAGGAGACCCTGGCCTACCTGACTTGTAACACCCAGCCCCCCTCTGCCATGAGGAGACCCTGGCCTACCTGACTTGTAACACCCAGCCCCCTCTGCCATGAGGGAGACCCTGGCCTACCTGCCTTGTAACACCCAGCCCCCTCTGCCATGAGGGAGACCCTGGCCTACCTGACTTGTAACACCCAGCCCCCTCTGCCATGAGGAGACCTGGCCTACCTGACTTGTAACACCCAGCCCCCCTCTGCCATGAGGAGACCTGGCCTACCTGACTTGTAACACCCAGCCCCCCTCTGCCATGAGGAGATCCTGGCCTACCTGACTTGTAACACCCAGCCCCCCTCTGCCATGAGGAGACCTGGCCTACCTGACTTGTAACACCCAGCCCCCCTTTGCCATGAGGAGACCTGGCCTAGCTGCTTGTCAGGTACTGCTGTTGTTACATTAACAGGTTACAATATTTGACCAGAACAAACGAGATATGATTGTGAATGGACTGTGGATAAGTCTCCACAAGCAATGAGTCACTGATGTACTACTATCAGTGCCAGCCACCCCACTTAGGGTGTACAACATGACCTGTGTCACTGCCTGGGGTTCCTAATGGGTATATTGTTTAGCATATATCACAAACTAAAAACAGCTTATTTATGACAGGATATAACATGAAAACAGGTATTCTCTCTGCCATACAGAGACTCTAGCCTACCTGATTTGTAACACACAGCCCCACACTGCCATCAGGAGACTCTGGCCTACCTGACTTGTAACACCCAGGCCATTTCTGCCATCAGGAGACTCTACCCTACCTGACTTGTAACACCCAGCCCCCCTCTGCCATCAGGAGACTCTAGCCTACCTGACTTGTAATACCCAGGCCCTTTCTGCCATCAGGAGACTCTACCCTACCTGACTTGTAACACCCAGCCCCCCTCTGCCATGAGGAGACCTGGCCTACCTGACTTGTAACACCCAGCCCCCCTCTGCCATGAGGAGATCCTGGCCTACCTGACTTGTAACACCCAGCCCCCCTCTGCCATGAGGAGACCTGGCCTACCTGACTTGTAACACCCAGGCCCTTTCTGCCATCAGGAGACTCTACCCTACCTGACTTGTAACACCCAGGCCCTTTCTGCCATCAGGAGACTTTAGCCTACCTGACTTGTAACACACACACCCCCTCCCTTCTGCCATCAGGAGACTCTAGCCTACCTGACTTGGAATACCCAAGCCCCCTCTCCCATGAGGAGACCCTGGCCTACCTGACTTGTAATACCCAAGCCCCCTCTGCCATGAGGAGACCCTGTCCTACCTGCCTTGTAACACCCAGCCCCCCTCTGCCATGAGGAGACCTGGCCTACCTGACTTGTAATACCCAAGCCCCCTCTGCCAATGAGGAGATCCTGGCCTACCTGACTTGTAACACCCAGCCCCCTCTGCCATGAGGAGACCCTGGCCTACCTGACTTGTAACACCCAGCCCCCCTCTGCCATGAGGAGACCCTGGCCTACCTGCCTTGTAACACCCAGCCCCCTGCCATGAGGGAGACCTGGCCTACCTGACTTGTAACACCCAGCCCCCCTCTGCCATGAGGAGACCCTGGCCTACCTGCCTTGTAACACCCAGCCCCCCTCTGCCATGAGGAGACCTGGCCTACCTGACTTGTAACACCCAGCCCCCCTCTGCCATGAGGAGACCTGGCCTACCTGACTTGTAACACCCAGCCCCCCTCTGCCATGAGGAGATCCTGGCCTACCTGACTTGTAACACCCAGCCCCCCTCTGCCATGAGGAGACCTGGCCTACCTGACTTGTAACACCCAGCCCCCCTTTGCCATGAGGAGATCCTGGCCTACCTGACTTGTAACACCCAGCCCCCCTCTGCCATGAGGAGACCTGGCCTACCTGACTTGTAACACCCAGCCCCCCTTTGCCATGAGGAGACCTGGCCTACCTGACTTGTAACACCCAGCCCCCCTCTGCCATGAGACCCTGGCCTACCTGACTCGGTTCTCTGTGAGCTGCTTCATGATCTGGCAATACACCTCATCTCGGAGGATTTCCTGCAACAAATCGGCATAGCTCTGTAGAATAATACCTCAAACTTTCAGACATCACCAGCTGTATTTGATGTTATAAATTCATTTTCAGTTTTTTTAGAAACATTTATAAAAAAATATTTTGAGATATATATGTCATAAGTACTTTCCAGATATCATAAGTGTCATTTACTGTTACTGTCATGGTCAGGTAATTATAAGTTGTGAGAGCCATTAAAAAGACACCAGTAAATATGTTATCATATAAAGCTGAATTTGGGATATTAACAGATGTTTTTAGATTAATTAACGATATATAAGAACAAATCAATATATTGTATATTTTCAAGTAAACAAGAGTTTAAAATTGTATAAATTGTTTATAAATCGTATATTTATACGTAAACAAGAGTTTTATGAATAATTACTTTATTGAACTTGATCACTTACGTTTCTGAGTGGAGGTTCAAATATGGCATCAGTGATTTCATTGGAGTTCCTACTTCTCTTGGATGGATGGTCACCCATGTACTTCAGGATAGGTGCTGGGGTTAAGGAAAAACATGCACACCATACACTTCATAATCTACAGTTCACTGTTATTTTGTCGAGGCAACTGTAAATTGAGAAATATGCACATCTTTAAGGATTGAGGACCCCAGGACTCCCCGGACTGAGCTCTCTGAATAACATAACAGAAGTCTGTGAGTTGCCTAATGTGTTACTGAGGATGGTGTTGAATGATGTGTGACAGAGGAGTGTGTGTTGCCTAATATGTCACTGAGGATTGTGTTGAATGATGTGTGACAGAGGTCTGTGTGTTGCCTGATGTGTTACTGAGGATTGTGTTGAATGATGTGTAACAGAGGACTGTTGAATGATGTGTGACAGGAGTGTGTGTTGCCTGATGTGTTACTGCAGATTGTGTTGAATGATGTGTGACAGAGAAGTGTGTTGCCTGTGTTACTGAGGATTGTGTTAAATGATGTGTGACAGAGGAGCGGTGTGTTGCCTGATGTGTTACTGTGGATTGTGTTGAATGATGTGTGACAGAGGAGTGTGTGTTGCCTGATGTGTTACTGAGGATTGTGTTAAATGATGTGTGACAGAGAAGTGTGTTGCCTGATGTGTTACTGAGGATTGTTTTGAATGATGTGTGACAGAGAAGTGTGTTGCCTGATGTGTTACTGCAGATTGTGTTGAATGATGTGTGACAGAGAAGTGTGTTGCCTGATGTGTTACTGCAGATTGTGTTGAATGATGTGTGACAGAGAAGTGTGTTGCCTGATGTGTTACTGAGGATTGTGTTGAATGATGTGTGACAGAGGAGTGTGTGTTGCCTGATGTATTACTGGGGATTGTGTTGAATGATGTGTGACAGAGAAGTGTGTTGCCTGATGTGTTACTGAGGATTGTGTTGAATGATGTGTGACAGGAGTGTGTGTTGCCTGATGTGTTACTGCAGATTGTGTTGAATGATGTGTGACAGAGAAGTGTGTTGCCTGTGTTACTGAGGATTGTGTTAAATGATGTGTGACAGAGGAGCGTGTGTTGCCTGATGTATTACTGGGGATTGTGTTGAATGATGTGTGACAGAGAAGTGTGTTGCCTGATGTGTTACTGAGGATTGTGTTGAATGATGTGTGACAGGAGTGTGTGTTGCCTGATGTGTTACTGCAGATTGTGTTGAATGATGTGTGACAGAGAAGTGTGTTGCCTGTGTTACTGAGGATTGTGTTAAATGATGTGTGACAGAGGAGCGTGTGTTGCCTGATGTGTTACTGTGGATTGTGTTGAATGATGTGTGACAGAGGAGTGTGTGTTGCCTGATGTGTTACTGAGGATTGTGTTAAATGATGTGTGACAGAGAAGTGTGTTGCCTGATGTGTTACTGAGGATTGTTTTGAATGATGTGTGACAGAGAAGTGTGTTGCCTGATGTGTTACTGCAGATTGTGTTGAATGATGTGTGACAGAGAAGTGTGTTGCCTGATGTGTTACTGCAGATTGTGTTGAATGATGTGTGACAGAGAAGTGTGTTGCCTGATGTGTTACTGAGGATTGTGTTGAATGATGTGTGACAGAGGAGTGTGTGTTGCCTGATGTGTTACTGCAGATTGTGTTGAATGATGTGTGACAGAGAAGTGTGTTGCCTGTGTTACTGAGGATTGTGTTAAATGATGTGTGACAGAGGAGCGTGTGTTGCCTGATGTGTTACTGTGGATTGTGTTGAATGATGTGTGACAGAGGAGTGTGTGTTGCCTGATGTGTTACTGAGGATTGTGTTAAATGATGTGTGACAGAGAAGTGTGTTGCCTGATGTGTTACTGAGGATTGTTTTGAATGATGTGTGACAGAGAAGTGTGTTGCCTGATGTGTTACTGCAGATTGTGTTGAATGATGTGTGACAGAGAAGTGTGTTGCCTGATGTGTTACTGCAGATTGTGTTGAATGATGTGTGACAGAGAAGTGTGTTGCCTGATGTGTTACTGAGGATTGTGTTGAATGATGTGTGACAGAGGAGTGTGTGTTGCCTGATGTGTTACTGCGGATTGTGTTGAATGATGTGTGAGTAAGGACTGTGTCTTGTCTGACACGTGACTGAGGACCGTGTGTTGCGTGACAAAGGACTGTGTTTCCTGTTACAGAGACAGACATTTGTGACTGAGGACTGTTTTGTGTCCCCTAATGTAAGGCTGCACAGTGCTGTCCAACATGAGTGTGAGGAAGGATATCAAGGAAGCTCATGCAGGCCTCAGCGGCCTGATCCTCCTTGCCCTGCAGTTTCTTCAGCAGTGGCTGCTTGATTGGGTCCTTGGAGTACCGCCACAAATCATCCATGCTCTTACGACCTGCAGACTTTATCGACTTGCTCAGAGTGCGCTTCGGGGGCATTCTGTAACATACATCATGCAAGCCATTTCAAAATATTTTCATTCCTTGTCGGTACTAACAACTTCATAGTGTGTGAGTGAATAATCACTGGCAATCACTTTTCTGGCAAGCCCTGCATGTATCTTGGACATGGTATGTAAGTAGACTGGTCCAGGGAGCATTGATCCACTGTGGGAGAGGGGGGTGATACATACCTGACTGACTGACTGACTGAGTTTGGTTTTACGCCGCTTTTAGCAATATTCCAGCAACATCACGGCGGGGGACACCAGAAATGGGCTTCACACATTGTGCCCATGTGGGGATTCGAACCCGGGTCTTTGGCGTGACGAACCAACGCTTTAACCATTAGGCTACCCCACCGCCCGATACATACCTGAAGTGGTCCAGGGAGTACTGCTCCAGTGTGTGAGGTTTCTCTCCTGGCTCAACCATCTCATTGTCATCTTGCACGGGGGCGAGCAGCTTCTCTGTCTGCTCCCCAGACTGGACAAACAGGTTCTGAAACACATCACAATGCTACATGACCAACGAAACCCATTATTCAGTAGAAGAGTATTTAATGAACACAGGTCATACTACAGATGGAAATGTTTTCCTAGTGATGACAACTGTAAGAGAGTTAATGTCAAAACATACTGACCAGTATTTCTGTTGGTGGACGAGTGATGGTAGGCAGAACATAGACACACTCAGCAGGGAAGTCTCCCTTCTTGTTGGTCTTGACGTTTTCCCCATAGCACCAGCCGGAGTTCATCACCGTCTCCCCACTCTGTTGGTCCAGCACTATCAGGTCCCCCTTACTGAATGTCAGGAATGTAGAACCCTCGCCTGGAAGGGGAGACAGGTGAGGGGACACTGCATTTTCTCACAGGAAGGAATATCAGAAAACCACACTTGTGGAGATCCCAGAATTCATAACAGGGAAAGTTCTATTGATATACAACTTCTTTATAATTAATGTAAGCAATATTTCGGTGTAGATGTTAAGACTGCTATCTAGCAAGATAATTGTGTTAGCATCTACACCGAAATATTGCTTACATTAATAATAATGTAATTTTTCAAGTAAAATTGAAATGTTTATACTTATCCTGACTCATGATCTATTGCTTATCTCCCTTTTCTTTGCGAATGGTAGTGGAACACTTGAATCCCTTGAAGTTCCTGAAGCGGACGTAAAAATACACTCATCCACGAGTTACCTCCCTTTTCTCACGTAAACAGTCATATGACTAGCCTTACTTGTCACTCTCTCCTGATTTTACTGCCCAAGCACTTGGATCTGCTGTGAATCTGAATTGTTTCCAGTGGGGAGGTCGGGAGGGCTTGACCTCATGAGTCAGGATAAGTATAAAAATATCAATTTTACTTAAAAAATTACATATCTTTACTTATCCTGACTCATGATCTTTTGCTTATAGAATCCGACAGATTGGTGGTGGGTCAAGCCACTTTGTGGATTCAACAGCTGTCCTTAGATACGTCCTGTATCCCCCCCCCATGGGAACTGCGAAACGGCATTTCCGAGATCCTATTCTTCCAACTTCCGTTATAACTCGGGGGGACCACTTTCTTGTCTTACTTCAATCTCAGACAAGTTGAACCAGGTTGATTCATGTGGTTACAGATAAACTAGTATCTTCCTATTATTAGATATCTTATAACAACCCATAGATTATGATAAGATCTTTATCATTAATGAGTTGCGACCCCTTCACGTACAGGTAAGATCTTTACCCGTACAGGATCTTTAATCACCCATGCTAGCCTGTGCTAGCCTGTGCGCATGGACTTTCAAACTAGTACTTTCCTTTTAGTAAAAGTTATCATCTATTCCGTAGGTGACGGGTGCAGTGGTCGGGAGAGAGCCAGTACGTTCTTGGCTCCCGGGTATGTGACACGGCTTTATCCAGGTGTTTGTTTCCTGTGTGATCTGGAACAACTGGAATGTGAGCTGCAATAGGCTTGGAGACCTTGTGGATCCTTCCCAGTTTATGGAGAATGCCACTGTAGAGTTGTCCGTGTGGATCATCAGCATTTTGTTGTTCAGCAAGCTCAACCATAGTTGTAAGGCGTTGATCACGGCTTTCATCTCTAGCAGATTGATGTGAGTGAAGCTGCTGTTCTATTTTGGACCACTTTCCCGACGCCATTTGATCGTTGAGATGTGCACCCCATCCCTGCATCGAGGCGCCTGCGTAGAGACGTGTGTCGAAGGCCAACTCTTGTAAATAGATCCCTCCGCAAACGTTCAACCTGTGTGTCCACCACAGTAGATACCTCTTAAGATTGTCTGGCAGGAAGATAGGGTTGACGCTGTCTAGATGTTTTGTCCGGAACCGTTGCAGCAGCCTTAGTTGTAATCTTCCTGTGCGAGTCAAGTCCTGCGTCGAGGTTAGTAGACCAAGTAGACATTGCCATGTTTGTAGTGAGATGACTGCTTGAGGAATCATGGCTTGTATCTTGATTCAATGATCTTCTGGGACCACAATTCGATTCTGTGTTGTGACAATTCTTATTCCCAGCAATTGAAGATCTTGTTTGATTCTAACTCCAAACTTCATCAGGTTCGCTAGCCATCCTAGTTGCATGAGCAACTTAATTGTCAAGTTCAGCTGCTGTCTGAGTTGACTGGCACTTTGAAGAACCTGTATGCCGTCGTCCAGATAACCGGCACTGCATAGACCTCGATGCTGCAGATAGGTGCCAATGGGTTTGGTTATTAGTATGAATAATCATAGAGCCGATGATATTCCAAACGGTAGAACCTTCCATTGGAAGTGCTAACCTATGATTGCAGTGATGATACATCATTCTTCCCCTTATATACGCAGGCGATCCGTGTTGACATCGAAGTGTTGTCTATTTATAGCAAGGCTGGCTCCAGTGTAGTATCGCAGGGGACAGGTACTCATACCGACTTTTATCAGAGACAACTTCCAAAATAAACATCGTTTATCCTGCTGTCAAGGCTAGACATCTATTAGATTCCCATGATGATAGCCGTAGTTGTATACTGTTTCCAAGGCTGCCGATGAAGTATTCCCCCGTACCGCGGGTTTGTTTACAAATCAGAAAACATGCTGGAGCCTGCTCTGTCAGTGGGAGGCGTTGTCTGACGTGGACCAATCAGCTTTAAGCATGACGTCACCGGTGTTGTAGCAAGTTGGCCTCCATAAAATCTGATGCAATTAGTTGGTTGAGTAAAAGCACGCGTAATTCTACGCCGCTCATATAACCCTCTTGAATAAGGGTTGCTCCAAGTGTAAATTCTTGTTCAGTGATATTAAATCACTTATTCCCAGCATGACGAAGGAGGCTGTCGAGATGTATGTCTGTATGGATCTTGAAGAAATACCGATGTTGAATCTAGTTGATAGGATATAAAATCCTAATGCCCACGCTGAGTGACGAGTGTTAATAATATCATCTGTAACGTCCGTTCAAGGATGCTTGAAGGCGTTGTTAACCTTAAGCCCTTTATAAAGGTCGCCTTGAGGTTCTCCAGTACTTGAGATATCGGCTTCATAGGTGATATAATATTGGAGTCGAAGTCATCAGCGTATATGCAGTACGTCTCTGTTGGGTTGGAGTGAGTGAGTGAACGACAATATCCACAGGCCATCTGCCACCCGGTGTAAGACCTCAGCATCCGTATAGATAAAGGTATTCCTTTCATCAAGTAGGTTGTCGTCCGAAACTGAATTTATACAGGTATAAGGTTTGTGCTGGTTGTAGAGTTGTGCAGGCTGTAACTGTAGAGATCGCACATGTAGATCTTTTTTGTAGAGTTTTACTCTCTGACAAAACCATCTGTTTTGATCATTGCTTCGTTTTATTCAGCCATATAGTAATAGAGTCGACGTCAACATCCTGCCTGTTGATGTAAAGGTTTGTTAACCCTAGGGTTCGCGAACCCTGTAGATGTCTGCGTTGCTGTTATCTGCCTGTAGATCTGAGAGTTCTTGAACCTTGTAGATGTCTGTAGCTTTCTCAAAGGTGTGTGTAGGTTAGAAGGTACCTTGGATATAGGTTCAATTGGAGGAATAGTCACCGAGTGAAAGTCGTTGATGCGCATCATATAAGTGTAGACTTCATCTTTATCCTTAGAAGGAGACTCCAAGTTCAACCCGTTGGCAATCCACGCTGTAACCTCTGAGTCTGGGAAGACGAAGTCTGTTTGCAAGTCCAAAGTCTCCTGATTATTAGTGCTAGGTCTCAACGACTCATCCATCTGCGAACATGTATCCCTTCTCGAACCTTCATCATCCTTTCGCGAACCTCTGTCTGAAGATTCCTCCCTATGCGAACGTCTATCTTGGAAGTGCTCTCTTCGAGAACCTCTATCTGTAGATACATCTCTTCGCGAACCTCTGTGAGGTGAGCTATCTCTTCGCAAACGTCTATCGTAGGGTGAACTCCTGTGTTGTGAGTCTTCTCTTCACGAACCTCTGGCTTGAGGTGAGTAACTTCGCGAAAGTCTGTGAGAGATATGAGATCTCGAGCTAGAGCGGCTAGGTGTAGGAGCTGGATCCTTTGATGTTCTCGAACGTTGAGTGTTCGCAGAAGTAGATTTGAGAGTAGGTATGTCATCTCTTCTATCCACCAAGGTGACAGAGTCGTCCCACTGTGGAGACCTTCGCAAAGATGTACGTTCGCCAACGTAGCCTTGAGGTGTAGTCCCAAGAGGAGTAGATTTGCACAGGTCCGTAGGTTTGCGCACGGTGTCGGTAAATGAGAGGCTTTTCCTTGCCTTCGCTTCCTCCTGGAATCTGCATTCCATCATGGCCATCATCTGGTTGGTGAATTGTTTCATAAATTCCCCTGGGTCAAAGTTCTGCATAGGTTGAAGCTGCTGCGGTGTAGATGAAGCATTCACGAACGCTGATGAGTTATGTGCCTCAGCTTCACTCCGAGAAGTAAGAGGTAGTTCGTCAAACAGCTGTCCTGCTGTGACTGTAGTAGGGGATGATCTCCTAGTAGTAGAGGTCTATTGAGTCACTGATCTCATAGATACTTCAGGCAGAAGTAATGGGGATTCGTCAAAAACGTCTAATTCGTGAGGAGGTACAATCTCGTCGTTGAAGGATTTCTGGTGCATAGATGAGCTAGCTCGCATAGATTTGCCCTCCTATCTGGTAACAGCTGACTTCTTCTGCGTTGTAGAAGAGGATGACGTCTTTTTCTTGGCCTGAGACAGAGTCGACTGAGATGTAGACGATCTCTTCTTGGCCCCCTTACAAGCAGACTGCCCCTGCACTAAACATAGCACCAGTATTATGAACATCGGCAGTAGCAAGCAACATACGGTTTGAAGGCTGATCTGCAGTTTTATCAACCGTGACTTGAGCTGACTTTCTCACCCGATCCATGGCACGTCTATAAATATAAGACAAATATTGATTAAATTGAAGATTTGATAAATCAATACAATAAGTACAGCGCAAGCTGGAAGAACATGGTTTTATGCACGAAGGGCATTGGGGGTGAGGATCAGCCACGGATAACCTGTGCCTGCAAACACTGCAGGATTTCATGAAATGTAAACAAAGTTACATAACGATGAAAACACAACCCATAAGTATATATTTTTTATTTTTTTCCACATACTACACAGTAGTTATAGCCAAATCCATATACAGCGTAATTTTGAAGAATAGGACCTAAATAAAAAGGATATAATGCCGTATACTAGACTCCAGTGCTCGCCCAACCATCCGCTTGGGCGAAAAGGGAGAGAGTGACAAGTAAGGCAGGTCACCTGACTGTTTTGCGCGGGAAAGGGCAAAAGGGAGGTTACTCGTGGGTGAGTGCATTTATACGTCCGCCTCGGGAACTTCAACGGATTCAAGTGTTCCACTACCATTCGAAAGGGAAAGGGAGATAAGCAAAAGATCATGAGTCTGGATAAGTAAAAATAATAAGTTGAATATCCATAGAACTTTCCCTGTATTTCATCACACCAACTTCCAAATACAAAGAAAGAATAAAGTGAGTGAGTTAGGTTTTACGCTGCATTTAGCAATATTGCAGCAATATCACGGTGGGGGACACCAGAAATGGGCTTTGTACCCATGTGGGGAATTGAACCTGGGTCTTGCGTGACGAGTGAACACTTAACCTCTAGGCTACCCCACCGCCCGGAAAGATTGAAGAGATATTCTCATGTGTCATGTCACACAAGATTCAAATTACATGTATAAAGCGCAGTTTCCCACAACACATTCATCACTCATTGCATATGTTATTTAGTGCAAAGCTGACAGCAACTTGACCCATGAAGGTCCGGGTTAGAATTTATCTTCAGAAATGCATGCTTGTCATAATGGGTCATTAACGGGATTGGGTGGTCATGCTCGCTGACTTGGTTGACACATGTCATCGTATCCCAATTGCGTAGATCGATGTTCATGCTGTTGATCACTGGATTGTCTGGTCCAGACTCGATTATTTACAGACCACCGCCATATAGATGGAATACTGCTGAGTGTGGCGTAAAATTTAACTCACTCACTGACAGCAACCTTCTCATTGATAAGTGTACATGGAGCAGTAGGGTGGTGTAACAGAATGTGAGACCCTATGAGAGGATGAGGTGCGAACCTGGTGAAGTGTAGTCCTGGATGGCGATGACGTATTTGGACCTCTTCTTCAGACCCTCCAAGAAGGTGACCACCAGGTCCTTGATGTCCTCAGCATTCAAGCGAGGTGAAGGTGTACTCATCATCACCTTTACTGTTGCCAGCGTGAAGCTCTGGCCATGCATCTTGCCTGTTCTGAAACATGGAACACAAAAAGTCACAGAAATTTAAACAATCAATTAAACCCTAGAACCCCATCTATTTTTGTATGCTTGTAAAAAAACATGTAGTCCTATATGGAATTTGGTTAATTATATCAGGTATTTCCACATTGTTTCCATGGAAATGTCTACAAATCACCGAAGAGAGGTAAAACATCATGCATATGCAATAATTCATGCATTCTGAGAATTTAACATAAAAAAGGAATAGAAATTGTTTTTCAAACAATGTGCTGTCAGTTTCAAATACAAGGCCACCTCTGACAAACTGAAACTTAATTTACTATAGAACTTCAGGGAAACTCACCGGCTGCTGGAGACGGCAGTAATTTCAGGGAAAGACAACTCCAGCAGGACTTGTTCTTGGTCATCCACCACATACACCCCTGTCCAGTTCACAGCAATAATCACATCATTCTTAGGTAAACTCGGGCCAGCAAACTTATATGCCTCATAGAATCTAGAGAAAAGTAATGGCCATTTATATTTTGCATAGCTGACAATGTCCTCTTTGACTTTCGGTGCTCGAATCCTTTCATTTGTGAAGTACGGACTTCTGAGTTTACTGACAACAGATGACATCCATCCCTGCATGGCGTTGGGCTTCTGTAGGTAGGAGTCTGGGACGAAGGATGGAAGCAGGGCCTGGAGGCGCTCGGGGATCAGGTTCGTGCCATGTTCCACAAAGTACTGCTGGGCAGCGATCATTGCTAGGTCCTCATCCTGCAACACACACTCGTGTAACTCACAGTGCAAGCATCAATGAACATAAATAAAACAATAACTAAAGCTCAATTTCTGGCACTTTTGATCGCATACAAATAATGACAGTGTCTAGTTTTGACGTCATACTTGTTTGACTGATGACAGTTTGTCAGGCATGTACTCTGTATGTTGGCAGCAATATTATGACTTCATTTTATCAGTTGTTCATGGTATTACTGTGATCAGTCTCATAGCACTCGCATTAGAACAAATAAAGCAAATAATAAGACCCAGTTGAGTATTCTGTATGAGGTCCTGATATCCTGTATGTTAAACTATTGTTTGGAAGTGGACACTGCTTTGAACCTGACACTCCAGTTATGCTTAAGTCTGTTCTGCAGCTATAGTTTCACCACCTTATATAGTATGACCAGAAATTATTGAGAATTTTAGGAATATGTTTAATTGGATTTCTAGTATAAACGCTGATACCAAAAAGACGCGAAAATATGGTACTTGTTGGTCCCTGCCTGGCGTTCGGCATTAATGGGTACAACAAGGACTGGTCGGCTCGGAGTCAGTATAATTTGTCTGAGTGGGGTATTCATGCTTCACTGAGGCGTGGTACCTCTGTGAGCTAGCACTATAAAACCAGCTTAAATCTGGGCTAGTACAAGCAGCCGCACATACACATACACACGCATGCACGTCGTCATATGAGCGAAATATTCTCAAGCACGACGTTAAACCCAATTTCACCTCACCTCACCTCTAGTATAAACAACCTTGACCAGCTATCAAGTGTTTGGGTTCATTCAAGAGAGACAACTCCGTGAATCCTTTTTCATTAGTTTGTGAAGAGTTATCCCCCTTTGTTTACTTGCTAGCAGAAGACATTTTCAGTGATCCTCAGTATGGATGATTTAGAGAAGAGGAAGTTGATTTTAGAGTATTATAACAAGGACATCAGATCAGCTTAAGTGATTTCAAGTAGAACAGGCACCCCTTTGTCCACTGTTTGTTGTGTTTTGAAAAATATTGCAAATGGATATGGCATTGAGCATCAGGGAGGCGCAGGTAGGCCCAGAAAATTGACTGTCGCTGACAGGAGGCTGTTTCCAAAAATAAAGGAAGGAGTTTAGAAAACTTAAGGCTGGATATCATTGATAGAGGAACTGTGGCTGTCTGTAAGGAGACAATTAGAACTGAGCTGCATGCAATGGGTTGGCAGAAAAGTCGAGGAATTCCATCACCGATCATGAAACCTGAACAAAAGGAGCGACGGTTGAACTGGTGCTTACAGCATAGAAAATGTAACTGGGACAATGTGATTTTCTCAGATGAAAGTTCTGTGTGGCTGTTTCCTAATACATTGAAATTCTGGACCAAACAAACTGAAAAACCTTTGTATCAGCATCCAAAGTACAGTCCGAAATTTAACGTGTGGGGTGGCATATCTGTGTTAGTGGCAACGCCCCTCTGTGTATTTGAAGGGAATATGAACAGTGAGCGGTTCACAGATGTTCTCGAGGGACATTTACTTCCATCTGCTCACATGTTCTATGGAAATTTTGGATTTTCCAGCAAGACAACGACCCAAAACATTGTTCAAAGCATTCACAGGCCTGGTTTCGGACCCAAAATATGACATTATTAGATTGGCCAAGCTATAGCCCCGACCTAAATCCAATAGAAAATGTTTGGGGACTTATGAAGGAAAGTTCCAATAAGAAAAATCTGACAAATATTGCTGAAATGAAAGAAGAGGTGGTCTGATATTGGGATAGCATGGACCACGACTTTCTAACTTCTTTGATCAGTAGTATGCCCCGCAGCATTGAAGCCTGCATTGCTGCCCATGGTGACTTGACAAAATTCTAACTGTTCACCTGTCTTTGAATCTGGAGTTATGCTCTGCTAATATTCACATTTAATACGTGAGTAATGAGTGAAAAAAATATAAAAAAATTCAATGTTTCAATTCTCAATAATTTCTGGTTGTACTGTAAGAGGAGAAAATGTGCTGTAATTTGACGAAGTAAACATTCATGTATCCAAGTATTAGCTAGAGAACATGATGGAGGTTACCTTGTCACATCGGTACTCTCCAAACTTGATGCCCCGGACCACCTGCTGGTAGATTAGGTTGGTGGCCACCAGGTCCTCGCTGGGATCATGCCACGGGGCAAAAATCTCTTTCCTGAAGAACAATCTCCATGGGGCATTCCTCTCCTGTGCCCCCTGCTCCTTAGCGTACTGCTCACATTGGGAGATGGCATCCATCACATGGTCACCACCACTGCCCAGGGAAGACACCTGCGCACACAACACCCTCACTTTACATTACATCCTTCCTGTCCCTACCATATCAGGGCTCGTGGCTCAGCTTCCTGTCTTCACAAAGATTTAAATTGAGAAACAAAGCATCAGCTACTGACCTTGTCAAACAATGCAATGTAGAGAGAGAAGCCAAACTGATCCCTCAGCTCAATCTTCTCAGAGAGCTGCTGGCACAGCTCGCGGGCGGTGGTGGCAGAGTCGGCTAGGAGCGTCTTCGTGTTGCCATCCATGAATGTGATGGGCAGCATCAATGGCTTCTTTGATTTGGTGGCCTGGAAACAGTATCAGGGAACATTCATGGGCCTGTGATAGGGTGTTAGCTTGTGGATCACATAAACATTTACATGTAAGTATTGTAAATATCTTGTCAGCAACATCAACTTGATCCCACCGTACTGGGTTGCCATGACTACCTACCTGCAGCTCTAGCCAGCTGGGGGGCTGATTCCTAGGGCCATTAGAGTAGGTACGACGGAGGCGCTCTTCACAGTAGGGAGCATAGCCTGGGGGGCCATCTTGGATGAAGTTGCGCAGATACTTCACCATCTTGTAAAGACAATGAAAATATTTATGTTTAGAGCTACATGCAGGTAATGAAAACAAAACAAAATCCCTTCTCATCCTTGCATGCATCTTAACCCCATGACAGTAACTGTTTAACCTTCCCTCATGTCACAGAATCACTACTGCAGTCTGAGAGATTCATATGTCACAACAGGGAGTTTAGAGTTAAGAATAATCTGTTTGCCAGAGAAGGCCTTACTTTCACAATGGCTTCATGGTAATGGTTGCCTGAACTGATGTCTTACATTTTCTGATGGCGGGAAGCAACCCACACACAGACACAGGAGGATCCAGCCGCGGGCATGGCTGGCCTTGGAAGGGTTCTGATTCAGCTGCTTGCAGATCTGACTGTAGATCTCATCTCTGTCGAAGAACATTTGTTATATGTAACTCATGGTGGCGACATCTTCCCAAACTAACAGTTCCTCAACAACAGCCTTCTTTCACACAAATAACATAACACACTGTATGACCACTCATTACTTCCACCAACAGTATCTCAAACAATATATGAATCAGTCTTGGATGACAACCATATCTCAACCAGTTTTCTTAATTTGCCCACAGCTACACTTCCATCCATATTATCATATTACCAACTGGAATGATATTCATCATTTTAAACCAGGACCCACTATTATGCTTTGCTCTAGAGAAGTAAATTCCATGATATCTACAGTTTGTGTAGACACAGAAGAAACAGTATGAAATTTTTAGAGTAAAATTAATATTTTATACTTATCCTGACTCATGCTTATTGCTTGTCTTCTTCTTCTTGCGAACCTAGTGGAACACGTGTATCTCCCAATTGAAGTTCCCTTCAATTAAAAATCACTCATTAGTACTCACCCCGAGTTACCTCCCTTCCACAAGCGCGGGAACGAGGGCGCCACCTGAACCCATGTGCCTCACTCTCTCCATTTTTGTTTTGAGCCCGATACTTTATTTTTCCGAAGAAATCCAAAGTGTTTAGTGGGGAGGACGGGAGGGCTTACCTCATGAGTGAGGATAAGTATAAAATATTAATTTTACTCTAAAAATTTCATATTTTTCCTTATCCTGACTCATGCTTATTGCTTGTAGAATCCGACGGAACAGGAGGTGGGATTATATATACTTTGGATTTTAATAATTAGTGATTTGAACTGAGATGATTGTAATAACCCTATGGGAACTTCATAAAGGCACTGAACTGAAGAATTCCTGCTGTTAACTTATCAGCATCCATATAAAGGTTATTACAATTTAGTGAAGATAATAAAAGTATATACAACATTAATGTAAGCTGAAGCCATTAATGTGATAGTATAAACTTCTGAGAGTTTATAGTGAATACTTTTATATGAACCAAAGTATTAAGCTTACAATATGCATATATATAAGCTATAATAGTACTGTGCTTAAGATATAATATAACCTAAGCTGTATAATAGTAACCAACTACTTAGAGTTTGTTACTAATACATGTTATGAATTGAACATATGACTGAGCTTAAGGATTGATAACTTAAGCTGAATATATATATAATAGCAGAACTCCTAGGAGTTGAAAGCATATATATAGTATGATATAGAATCATAGTACTGAGCTTAAGATAATAAATTAAACTTAAGCAAAAATATATGGATAGCATGTAGCTATTAGTACTGTTATCAGATAAGTATAAAATCTGTAAGATAAACTTATCTTCTCCGTGGAACTGTCAACTGTTGAGCGAGGACCATGGGACCGAAATGGTGGATACCTGAGACATCCTTGGTGGTGATATCTCTCAGATAGTGGTTGGCAAACACCATATCGGACCTCCAAAAACATCCCTCCATAATGGTATTCAACAAGCAATTCCCATGTAGAGCGAGAGTTGAGGCTAGCTCTCTAATTTCGTGAGGATTAGAAGCTCTTGGAGGGTCGAGTCCTGCAGCCTTGTAGGCTCGTGAGTATGACAGTTCTGATCCAAATAGAAATCGTGAGTAGTACCTGACACTTCTGTCTCGTTCGCTGTGGATATAGGGATAAACAATCTTTTGAATTTCCCTCTACTTTTCTTGGATCGTTGGAGATATATTTTCAGTGCACGTACAGGGCAAAGTGATAGGTCCATCGTATCATGCGGTCCAAGTATGGATGAGAGAGCTGGGACATGGAACAACCTGTCTGGTTGACCTGGCAGTTGATTTTTCGCTATAAAATCCCAGCGAAGTCCAAGATGAGCGATGTTATGAGTATCATCAAAGCGTGTTCTCTCGTAATCCAAAGCGTGAATCTCAGACATCCTGGCGGCAGTAGCTAATGCTAACAGGAATAAGGTCTTGTGGGTCAGTGATTCAAACGAAGCAGATAACAATGGCTCATAAGCCTCACTCGTGAGGTGTTGGAGTACTATATTTAGATCCCAGGCTGGAGCTTGAAACTTCCGTTTCTGATCCTCCAATCGAACGCCGTAACAAAGCGAGTAACTCCGGTGTTTTAGTCAACTTGAGGCCCGTTCTCATAGTTATGACAGAACTTAAGGCTGCAAGATAAGTGGACAAGGTTGAGCCTTTTAGATTCTTAGTTTGACGTAGATAACATAAGAAATCTGCCACTTGAGGATGTGTAGCATATCTGGCTGTAAATCCTTTCTTAGCAGCATAATTGACAAAGCTGTGCCATTTGTCATCGTACAAGTTACGAGTTGAGCTACGTAGTGCAAGCGTGACCGCTTTAGACGCTCTGGCAGAATAACCTCTCTTATTCAAACATGCCTTGATACAATCCACACGTGAAGTTGGTATGCTTCTGGTGTCTTGTGCACTTGTTTGGTGTCTTGGATGTATCAATAGATTGGTGGTGCGCAGTGGGAGCTAACTGGTTTTCCGATTCCTAGCATGAGATCCAGTAAAACCACGCTCGCAGAGCCAGTATGGCGACCAAAATGAGATCGAGGCTCTTCGCTTGACTGATTTTCTGTAAGACTTGTGGGATTAACGCAGGAGGCGGGAAAGCGAACGCGTTGAGTCCCTCCCACGATATGCTTAGTGCGTCTGTTGCCCATGCTAGTGGGTCTGGCACTGGCGATACGAAGGTTGTCAGTTGTTTGTTGAATCGAGTGGCAAATAGGTCTATCAAGGGAGATCCTATTTCCATGATTATTTGATTGAATATCTCTGTGTGGAGCATCCATTCTGTCGGCGACGGTTGGTGTGGCCGAGAGAGAGCGTCTGCTAACACATTCTTTGCTCCTGGAATGTGGCAAGCTCTGACATGTATGTTTAGATTGTCAGCTAAATCGAACAGTCTGAAACAACGAGTGAGTAGATTCAGTGATCTTGTTGAACCTTGTTTGTTCACATAAAACGCCACTGTTGAATTGTCTGTGTGAACCATCAACTGAGCGTTCTGTAGTAGGTTGCTCCAGTGACTTATGGCGTTTATGACTGCTTGCATCTCTAGCAGATTTATGTGACATTTGCTCTCTTGATTGCTCCATAGGCCTGACGCTGTCCTGCCGGGCAAGGTGGGCTCCCCAACCTTTAGTGACGCTGCTCTGCGTGAGATGTGTTTTCGATTCCGGCTCTACTAAGGAGACGCCTACGCAAACATTCAATCTCTTGGTCCACCAGAGTAGATGTGGTTTGATGTAATCTGGTAGACTGAAAGGTAGAGGGTCCTCGAAATGAGCATTGATGAGGACTTGTAATGGACGTAATTGAAGCCTGCCTCTGAGTGTCAAGTCTTGAGCTGATGTGAGTAGTCCCAATAGGCTCTGCCATTGTCGTAGTGGTAATGGAGAGAGTAGGGCTTGGGGAATCAGTTGTTGGGTCTTGATCCATCTGTCCTCCGGGACTACTAAACGATTCTGAGCTGTAAGGAATCGTATACCTAGAAAATGCAGATCCTGCGTTGGTTCTAGGTCTGACTTGAGTAGATTTACTAACCAACCTAATTGAGTTAGTAACTTGATTATTAAGTTCAGCTGTAGTCTGAGACGCTGTGGATCTGGATCCACTTGTATACCGTCGTCTAGGTAAAATGCGCTTCCGCAGACCTTGAGGATGTAGGTATGAGACAATAGGCTTGGTTACTCTTGTGAATACCCAAGGGGCTGAAGTGATTCCGAAGGGAAGTACCTTCCATTGGTAATGTTTGCCGTCTAGGATAAATCTTAGATATTTCCTTGAGCTGGGATGAATCGGAATGTGTAGATATGCGTCTTGCAAATCTATGCTGGCCATGTAATCTAGTGGACGAATTAATTGCCGAAGTTGTGGTAAATGTATCATGCGAAACGTTGGTGGTTTGCATAGATATTCTCTGTTGAAGGTGCTCATGTTGTAAATGAGACGATACTTCTCCTTGGAATTCTTTTTCGGCACTAGGAAAACTGGGGAGTAGAAACCTGGTACGATGTTTCGTTGATCCAGAACTTCTAAGGCCTGTTTGTTTAGCAGAGACTGTACTGTTTCTCTTAACATAGGTAGTTGTGCCGGTTGAACGTTGAACCTTGGCGGGGTGACTGTTAACGCGGCTTGGTCTTGAGTTGTATGAGATATCCGTGCTGTAGGATGTTGGATACATAAGGATCTTGTAGTATTCCCCAGTTTTCCCAGTGTAGTTGAAGACGTCCACCCACTTGAGAAGGTTGTACTGGAACGACTGGGGGTGGAAGACTCCAGTCGTTCCGAACCTGCCTTTCATCGTTTAAATCCACGGCCACCTCTGGATGATCTGCCTCTCGCTGATCCTCCTCTAAATTTGCTGTATGGGCGATGAAAAGAATCCTTGGGATTATTAGCTGCAGCTAGTTTCTTGTCCCGTGCTCGCTGTAGCCCTGAGAACTTAGACTTGCCCGAGTATCTCTGTGCTGACTGTTTAAAGGCGTTCGCTAAGGTATCGAATAGATCATTCTGTCTTCCTCATCTGTAGAATTTTTGAACTTGGTGATGAGAGTCTCATTGATAGTCCTAGATCTATTTAATCCGAAGAACATCCTTCTGGAAATGGTATCTAATTGGGCCAGTTTGCGATCGTCTACTCTGTAACTTCTGGACTTGGTATCAGAGATAAGTTGAAAGTTGTCATCAATATCTTGGGCCTTGAAAAAGGGTTCCATATTATGTCCAGCAAATTTCTTGGCATTGAAGACCGGTAAATGAGTAGATTGGGCTTTAGTGGATTTGGAGCAGGCTGTATCTAGTTTAGCTGGTACGGCTGCGATTGGGTCAATAGGAGGTAAGGTGATATAATCTACATCATCATCCTTCATCAGGTAAGTCTGAGTTGCATCCTCGTTCTTTGATGGGGAGGCAAGTTGTAATTCATTCACCATCCAATATCTTATCTCAGCATCTGAGAAAATGATACCATCCTCCTCTTCTGACGTATGGTCATATGTCGGAGTCCTAGATCTATGGGAAGATCTATGTGAGGACTGTGGAGAACGGACTGACGAGTGGCTAGTGTACGGAGACCTTGGAGAAGACATCCTTCGCGAAGGCTGGCGGCTTCGCGAACGGTGAGGGCTTCGCAAACGCTGTGGGCTTCTCGAACACTGGGGGCTTCGCGAACGCTGGGGGCTTCGCGAACGCTGGGGGCTTCGCGAAGCTCTTCTAGGCGAGGTAGAAATGGAACTACTTAGCCTTCGCGTCCTTTTGCGAATGTCTCGAGTCAGTGTCCGAATCGACATGTGAGCGCTTGCTTCGCGAACGACCTCTGTGAATTACAAGGTGCGTGCTCGGCGAAGCGCTCCTTCTCCGCGAAGCCTCTCGCAATAGGTGAGGCTCTAGCTCCTTCGCGGAGGTGGCCTGGGACTTCCTATGCATAGAGCTCGCTCCGGGCTGGGATGCCCTTCGCGGAGGCGCGTCTGTGGGCTCTGGGGCCCTACACGAAGCCAAGGCGGGCTCTGGGGCCCTGTATGACTTAAAATGGGTTGGGCTCTGGGGCCTCTGTAAACCGTAACGGTCTTCCATCAGCCTCATGATTTGGTTGACCAGGTCGTCTGAGGCGGTCTGCGCTGATGATGAGGGTTGTCTCTCTGCTAAGGTGACGGGACCCTCAGTCAAAATTTCTGGTGACAGCGTAGGCATCTCCGGTTGTGTGTTAATCTGCACTGAGGTGACAGTCGCGGATACCGGACATTTCTTTTGACGAACCTCTGGAATGATAATCGGAATGTCATCATCATATAAGGCTAATTCTGCGACTGGTAAAATATCAGAGGCAAAATTATTAGATTTTGTAGACTTCCCTTTTGACGTAGTTGTAGACCTGGGTGTACGAAGCGTACGAGATGATATGGACGCTTTGCTAGTCTTAGACTGAGAAGACGACAGATCTTGAGACGCAGGTCGCTTCTTAGACATAGCGGACTGCGTCCCACGCTTATCCCCCGAGGGAAACTCAGGCATGCCACCAGCGGGTGGCGGGTCGTCAGTCAACAGTTGACAGGGAACATTAATATGTGATCTATTAGCCATGACTGAGATTTGTTTATTTAGATTTATCTGCCTTCCGCCTAAAAACGGAACATAAATATTTATCAAAGGCAGAAATGGGTAAATTAATACAAAATTTACAACGAGAAACAAATGAACATGGAGTAATGCAACTAGGGCATTTTAAATGTGGGTCTGTAGCAGAGTAACGTAGTTTACAATCTGTGCAGATTCTCATTAACGTAAACTACTGAACAAACACGGCGAACCGTGAATAAACAGCAGAAACACGATTAATAATCAATGCAAAATTGAATAAGGATACTAGTAACACCTCTATACTAAGTATAAGAGGTACTAAACTAAATATAAATAAAGGATATAGTGTGTTGGGAGACACAGGCGCTCTCACGTCCAGCTCACTGGGCGAAGAAGGAGAGAGTGAGGCACATGGGTTCAGGTGGCGCCCTCGTTCCCGCGCTTGTGGAAGGGAGGTAACTCGGGGTGAGTACTAATGAATGACTTTTTATTGAAGGGAACTTCAATTGGGAGATACACGTGTTTCCAATTGAAGACAAGCAATAAGCATGAGTCAGGATAAGGAAAAATAACAATTTTCAATTTTCAAGGAAGAACTGACTAGTGTGTAAACATAAACACATCAGCTTCCCACAGGAGATACACAGTAACAACATGCATTTCACCTGATAAAGGGGCAAGTATTAGCCAAGAAATGTCGTGTGTAAATAATAAAGAAGTTGCACATCCATATCAAATGTGTTGTATAACATGCAATCTAATTTCACAGCATTTCAAGGGCTACCCAGATTGTGGTGATATAGTGAGATTGGCACCTGAGTTCTGGCCTGAGGATTCCATGGCCTATGATGAAGTGCAGTTTCTCCAGGTTGGACATGGGTCGGTCCTCCAACAAGGCGTTGCCGCCTCCAGTAGTGTCATAGTCCTGCAGCTTCCGGGTCACTTCCTCTGTGATCTTGGACTTCTTCTTCAGTGTGAGGGACACTATCTTCTTCCGTGTGGACTTCTTGATGGTGTGGCGCTGGTAGCCTGGCGCCTCCTTCTCCTGTAAGTGTTAGAGGGCATTTCAAGTGAGAGGGGTTTACTTAAGGCAAGTACATATCATACTGCAGACAATTATTACAGGCAATTTCAAGGCTTCCTTCCAGAAGCAATTCATCTTATCCAACAGTTTCACCTCCTACTACAACTCAACAGTTAAATTGAATCATATATTTTAGTTGGTATTATTTCATTATTAAAGGTCACAGTCAGCAACATTCACGATGTACGATGGTGGCCTGTAACTCATGAGTCTGGACAAGACAAACCAGTGCTTGATGAGACTGGAAATATCCCACATCTCCAGGTCAGCAATTCTATTCCGTCGACTCCACACTTAAGGGGTGTCAATCTTAACACAGATTCTTCAGAATCAGGTATCAGTTACACTATATCCTGAATACCATTCTACTGTCTTTGGACATTCATGAAAGCCTAGACTCTGTCCACTTCCTTACTCCTACATTTGCTGAATATATAGTCTGCCAAGTGTCAAAAACATGCTAATCTCACATAACTCGATAATAGGAACGCCAGTTTCCATACCAACACACAGCACACAGGTTAATCACAAGGAGTAAACTACAGCCAGCTGGCCTCATTAGCAGAGACAAACCACACTTGTGTCAGTGTCCAGCTGACAGGTCACTTCTACCACTACCACTGGCTAGAGGTCACATATCACGGTACAGGTCTCCAGCTGACAGACAAGGTCCACTTCTACCACTACCACTGGCTAGAGGTCACATATCACGGTATAGGTCTCCAGCTGACAGACAAGGTCCACTTCTACCACTACCACTGGCTAGAGGTCACATATCTCGGTACAGGTCTCCAGCTGACAGACAAGGTCCACTTCTACCACTACCGCTGGCTAGAGGTCACATATCACGTACAGGTCTCCAGCCGAGGTCTCCACTACCACTGGTCACTATCTACTCACTGACAGACAAGGTCCACCTACCACTACCACTGGCTAGAGGGTCACATATCTCCAGCTGACACAGGTCTCCAGCTGACAGACAAGGTCCACTTCTACCACTACCACTGGCTAGAGGTCACATATCACGGTACAGGTCTCCAGCTGACAGACAAGGTCCACTTCTACCACTACCACTGGCTAGAGGTCACATATCACGGTACAGGTCTCCAGCTGACAGACAAGGTCCACTTCTACCACTACCACTGGCTAGAGGTCACATATCCACTGGCGGTACAGGTCTCCAGCTGACAGACAAGGTCCACTTCTACCACTACCACTGGCTAGAGGTCACATATCTCGGTACAGGTCTCCAGCTGACAGACAAGGTCCACTTCTACCACTACCACTGGCTAGAGGTCACATATCTCAGTACAGGTCTCCAGCTGACAGACAAGGTCCACTTCTACCACTACCACTGGCTAGAGGTCACATATCTCAGGGTCAGCTGACAGGGTCTCTACCAGCTGAGGTCACATATCTCGACAAGGTCTCCAGCTGACACTTCTTCTACCACTACCACTGGCTAGAGGTCACATATCACGGCACAGGTCTCCAGCTGACAGACAAGGTCCACTTCTACCACTACAACTGACTGGAGGTCACATATCACGGTACAGGTCTCCAGCTGACAGACAAGGTCCACTTCTACAACTACCACTGGCTAGAGGTCACATATCACGGTACAGGTCTCCAGCCGACAGGTCACTTCTACCACTACCACTGGCTAGAGGCTTGTAGATCTGCTACCTAGAGGGGGACAACTCTTGGGGTTTTATCAGAGAAACATCAGGCGCCCACAGAAATACTGTAGTACATTCACAAATGCAGAATGTGATAAACTTCTTCTAAGTGTGCAATGCATAGATGTACAGGTCTCCAGCTGACAGACAAGGTCCACTTCTACCACTACCACTGGCTAGAGGTCACATATGTCGGTACAGGTCTCCAGCTGACAGACAAGGTCCACTTCTACCACTACCACTGGCTAGAGGTCACATATCACGGTACAGGTCTCCAGCTGACAGACAAGGTCCACTTCTACCACTACCACTGGCTAGAGGTCACATATGTCGGTACAGGTCTCCAGCTGACAGACAAGGTCCACTTCTACCACTACCACTGGCTAGAGGTCACATATGTCGGTACAGGTCTCCAGCTGACAGACACTTCACTCACTATGCCTGGTTAGGAAAGTTATATGCCACAGCAAACTGTGTCAGCTCTAGCACTGTAGGAAAGGCAGGGCAGGGGGTGGCAAGAGCCAGATCATTGTGTAGTGTATGGTGCTTTAACAATTTGATATTGCCCTAACTCTGAGAACAACATGCTAGAGCCTGTCCCTTTGCCCATGTTTAAGTAAGTGAGCATGGTTTTACGCTGCTTTTAGCAATATTGCAGCAATATTACAGAGGGTTTGAAAATGGGCTTCAAACATTGTACCCATGTTGGGAATCGAACCCAGGCCTTCAGCGTGACGAGCAAACGCTTTAACCGCTAGGCTACACCACCCCCATGTTTAAGACTACTGTCCATTTTAAAGGGAACATACTAAGGTCATGATAACTGTGCTTATACAATGACTCAAACCTGTGCACTGAAAACACCGTATGTCAAATCCTATTTTCTGTGTCACAATTTGTTCCGTACAATGACTGAGTTCCAACACCATACACTGTGCAGAGAGAGGCAGGGCCACAGTTCTCTCATGGACCAATTGGAGCCGAATACTTTAACAGGGAAGATATCATAAGACAAGTATGTCTTAATACTAGATTTCCATAACACTAGACAATCTTCACAGGGTTCATGAGGCCTGTGGCAGGTGAGGTAGGGTTAAAAAGAAGAGTAGTAAGCTTGTATTTACCATACTCACCAACTCTTCTCCCATTTTCATTGCCTCCTCAAGGTCTTTCTTATTGAACTTACGACCTAATGTAGAGTAGATCTTTGACATCACTGGGGTTGTGTCCTTAAACAATAATTCAAAAGTCAACCATAAATATGTAGGAATACTGCATAACAAGTTTAAGTCAACATGATAAACAAACAACACTCTGACTATATGTTGCACGGCTGAGTACCGGTACAATCACAGCTGTCTTGAGGTTTTATCTGTCTGTGGACACTTACCCTTGATTCAGCCATGGCTGTGTGGTACTTAGGTTCAGGCAAGTCCCCCATGAAGCGCAGGATGACAATCCATACTGCCATGGCAGCCTACAACATACAGATGCATGAGGAAACAGGCCTCTTGATACCTTGGAGGAACATCGCACAATAGAAGACTGATGTATCACTGTCAGCATGGTCCACGTAGCAGCAGTATTGACTGGGATAGTATTCACCAGTATTCCTTAGACAATACACTTAACACTAAGTCATATACACACACATGTGAGATGAAGGGAGGCCATCCAAAACAGTACACCTGTCTCAAAAA